GTCACTGAGCCTGTCCTCTCTGGACAGCCAGGTCTGCCTGTGTCCAGTGTCTCTGTCCAGGCTGTGGTCACTGAGCCCTCTCTGGACAGCGAGGTCTGCTGTGTCTCTGGCCAGGATGTCCAGGGATGGTCCCGGCCTCTCTATCCCTCTGTCTCTCTCCTTCTCTCCATCCCTGTCTCCCTCTCTCCTTCTCTTTCTCTTCTATGCTAAACGCTCAGTGACTGCAGATGTTTCTGTTCTTATTTATAGCCTCTTTCATTAACTGTGATGCAGAGAGAGAGGGAACAGAAGAGAGAGGAGGAGGGAGAGAGAGAAAAGAGAGCCTGGCGATCGGATGGGGAGGGAGGATGCTTGTACACTCTCTTCCCTTCAGACATCATGTCCATCTGTCTGTCCGTCTCCTGCCCCACCCTTCCCAGCTCACTCTAGGGTGCAGACAGCGCGGGAGGGGGGAGGACAGGGGCGAACACAGATGACAATAAAAGTACTGCTGCTTTAAAAGAGCTAATTGCGAGGTGGAAGTCCTCACTAATTACAGCTCTCAGTGCTCATTTTCCTCTCCGTGCGGAGGCCTCTGAGAAAGAGGTTTGTGTCTAACCAACTGCGCGAGTTTATTGCCTTGAACCTTGTTAATGACGAGTTTCAATCTGGGCTGATTCTACAGCAGAGTGCAGACCTAGCCCTCGTTAGAGCAGTTAACGACGTGCTGATCGTGTCTGACTCAGGCTGTCTTTCAACGTGAACTCCCTTGCTATTTTTAGACCCGGCTTCAGTGACATTATCTTCTCATTCTTCCCCACACTGATTTGGGAATCACGAGTGACCCGCGAGCCGGGCGGGGGTCGGGGGGCGCCCCGATTCCTTCGCGAGCCCCGGAGCAGCTCCGGGTGAGAGCTCGGGGGTCGGCCAGCCCGAAGGGTCCCGGCTCGCTCACCAAGCCGCCGGTGGGCCCGGTGGCACCAGAACGCTCCCTCCCTGGGGAAGCCCACCGCCCGGCAAACGAGCGGCGCCACGCATCATCGCGAGACCCCTGAGCGCTGGCCGGGGGCGGGTCAGAGGGACAGGCCCCCCGGCCGAGCGCGAGGAGACGGGAGCAAGACAGCGACAGGAGCTACAGCTGACTCCGAAACCGCCTCTCCTCTTCTCTCCATCAGCCACAGCTCCGTCTCCATGGCAACAATTAAAATAGGTCTGCTCGCAGTTCAATGAAACACACATCTCATTTCATTCCAGCACTGCGCAGCGCTCGGCCCACCTCGGAGACACTCCACACACGCACACACACGCGCACCGTTAGAATTAGTCATTTAGGAGACGCTTTTATCCAAAGCGACTCGCAGAGACTCAGGGGGGCCAGCTGGGGCTCCGATGACTGCTGCCGCAGAGCTTCTGTCCACACAGGGCGAGAGCCAGGGGCCTCCTGGCGATC